CCTCAGTTTGTTTAGCAGCACGTTTCAGGATATGAAAAAACATAATGTCACATGTACAGAACCAATATCTGATTTAAAAACATGAAGACTTACATGTGAGCTTTACAATCAGTCGTTGGGCCAAAAGCAAGAAAAAGGAAACACTTTAAGCCCTGACTATGACACATAGTTTTGCCACTTTTATTTCTTTTTCTGTGATATTGCTGGTGATTAATACACCAACAGGAATGAATTTCATGTGTTACTGTTTAATCTCAAAGCAGTTTGATTTGAGGCTCGCAGTGACAAAATAATAACTCCCCTTAAAGGTGTTAAACCTAAAGTAATGAAGGTCTCCTAAAGGTCTCTTAGCATTAGACTCTTGCTATTTCTGTGCCTTCATTCTAATGTGTACACTCTGTGTTTAGTTCCTCTGGACGTGGCCCTGTTTTCCCGGAGCAGATCCTTAGTTTTGAATGATTGGAGAGTGGCTATAGCGAGCAGTGAGTGAGCGAAGAGAAGCTTTCCCTGTCCTCCCCACCTTGGATTTCCTGGAGCCTGGACCCCGTCACACTTGTATATAGCACAATTCCCTGCACTGTCTGTACACATACCTGGTGTAATAAACTATTTCTCCTCAAAGTGAAGAGTCCTGCGCGTGAGTCCTCAGTGAACGGTGACATCATTACAGTAACAAAGTATTTGTACTTCATTACTTCCTTCCTCATGCTGTAACCCTCGATTTCATTTGGTGTGTTTTTTTGATGAGATGCAGCTTTCCACACCATCTTTTCACCGATTGCTGATCACCACACTGTGTTTGTGTGCTAAAAGAGAAATCATTTCCTGCATGGAGACTAAACGGAAGCACAATTACATTAACTCAGAGGGTACAGCAACTGTTGCAGTTTGTCTTGAAACAACTGTAATCTCCACATCTGGACTTTTTTCTCAATTGAATTACGATTTTAATCTCAAAATTGAAACTTTATTTTCAATGTTATCTATAATAGTTTCTCCTAATGTGGCCGTAATACTCATTCGTACAGCAACATTGGCAGCAAACTGAAATTGGAAAAAAAGATGTAAGCAAAAAAAACACAAAGATGTAGGTTTCAAAACTTAGTTAATAATAGAAAATAAATTTATTCGCACATTTTACGGTTTCAATTCACCTTTTTTTCAGTTTCATTTTTTCCCCTTTCGATACAACATTTTCGTGTTAATTATTCTCAGTTTCATTTTAAGGTGGCATCATTTTAACCCCACGCACACACAGAGGGTCCATAACACTCACATTTCCAGAGTGTAACAACCAACCACCTGTGTGAAATCTGAAATGCCCATGGTGTTGATTCTATAATATATATTTAGCTAAAATCTACACATTTATTTGGGGAAAAATGTTATCTAGCTGTGGTTCTAAAGAGCTGTGATGGTTATGTGTTCACTGACACCTGATTTATGCACACACAGTTATTGTGGTTCATTTCATTATGTCTTGGATTTGTCTGAATGTTGTGCCTGCTCCTTTATCAGTCTTTGCTTCCTGCATGTACAGCTTATGTGATTATTGACCAGGAGGGTTTGCAGTTTCATCAAAACACGAGTTGTTTGTTGCTTTCATTATGACTTGGCTGACTATGGCTACTTATACATTGCAGACTCAGACTATTACATTAATAAGCAATTATTGAGCCTGGATAGCTCAGTCGCTAGAGCATCAGCCTTTTAATCTAAGGGTCCAGGGTTCAAGTCCCTGTTTGGGGGCCGATCTTTACAGAATTTCGCAGAGGAACCCACCCGAGAGATTAATAAAGTTTTATCTTATCTTGTGTAATGTAGGGGGGAAATTCTTATAGTGAGAAATATTTGACATGATTGCCAAGTTGTCAAAGCACCGTGTCAGGTCTTTGAAAACTGTAATGGCCTTTCAGCTTCCCGCTGGACTAAACATGCCTTGTTGTTTCTTTCAAATCTGTCTAAACACATGCATGTTGTATTAGTTGATGAATTAAAATGGAAAATGGTGCTTTTGCCACTGAAGTCTGAATATGTGCCACTGGCAATGCAGTACTAGTTGACTTCTTTTTGCTTGCCCCCCAGTATGCTATGCTTTGCAGTTGTTGATTTTCGGGTGGAGGTGGATCCAAAATTGTTTGCAATTGGTTTACAGGACTGGTGAAGGACTCTCGTTTCTGGTCACCAGGGAGAGTCCGTATCACAAAGGCTGTGAAGGATGCAGCTGCTCTAGATCAGAGGTGTCAAACTTAATTGTACAGGGGGCCAAAACTCAAAGCACACTTTAGGTTGAGGGCCAAACAGGGTAAGCATTTATTGAAAACACTAAAACAATGTTTTTTGAACATAAATATGAATAAAAACAGACAGGAATATTGTTTCAGAATAAATACACTTAGAATAAAGAATAACTTCTAATAACCGTCATAAGTTTTCAAACATGTCTTTTCCTGTCGTTGCATCGATTTAATGTCCAATATTTCCTCTGAAACGGGCATATTGGAGTTCACTTCACGGATGAAGATGGCCAGCTGTGTAATGTCCATCATGTCTGTACTTTTATCCACAGCAAGACAGTATGCTATAAAGTATTTGCTTCTTTCACATGACTGTGTTCTTAAATCAGTGGTCATCTCACAAACCCGACCGTATTTCTACTCAAGCTCACATTTGCCAATATCTGGGTTACCGTTACAGTTAACCCTAACACTAGCTCTTCTACTTTCTGTATGAGAACTATGACTACATGGAAGGAGGTAACACAGACGATCCGACAAAGAAAGAAGGCACACAGACGAAATACACACAAAGGAGATTAGGGAAAGTGGAAACACATGAGGAAACAGCAGACACCACAGGGAAAGTGACACTAAAACACGCACACACACAGCAAGCTTGACGAACCAACAAGGGAGACTTAAACACAAGCATACTGAAAGTAAAAGACAGACCGCATAATGCTGTGAACAAGAACAGACACAAGGCCATAGAAGAAAATCTAAACCATGATGAAACTCAGCTAAAACCTAAATGATGATCAACACCAGAACTTAACATATGTTCATTATCATGGGAGAGAAGAAAAAACTATAAAAGAAATCAAAAGATGGGTCGCAGACCCAGACCCTGACACAGAACAGAAACTGGACTTGATTGACACTCTGAATTATTGAATCTGTAGCTTTTGTCTCATTAGCGCTTCATTTTGCCGAGCCATGAATAACAATATGAATGAATGAATCTATATAAAAAGGATCTTGCAGGCATATAAATGTACGCTGGGCTGGATGTGGCCCACGGGCCTCGAGTTTGACACGTATCCTCTAGATACTGAACAACTACAGAAAACTACATTTCTCCTGTGGCCTGCAGGTTCTGCATCTCACCGTCTGAAATACACAACGTAAACATCACTTTAATACTTTTTGCTTGTTAGAATAATGAACTACAGAAAGACGTCATCTTACCTAATAACTGCTGAGCACTGTTTGACTGGGACACAATGGGCACCTCTGCAGTCGACTCTGAATCTATATAGAAATGATCTCGCGGGCCGGATATAAATATACGTTGGGCCAGATGTGGCCCGCAGGCCTCGGGTTTGACACACATGATGTAGATTGATGGGTTTGTAAACGAGATAATGAAAGATTATATTAGGTAAACCTGTACAACTGCTCACCGATGCAAATATTTAATTAGCCAATCACATAGCAGTAGCTCCACGCATTTATGGACGTAGAGATGGAAAAGAAGTTTAACAGGTTTGGTTGTTGGTATTACACAGGCTGCTCTGAGTATTTCAGAAACTACTGGGATTTTCTACACACAGCCATCTGTAGGGGTTACAGAGAAGGTTTTAGACTTGACAAATATTCAGAGAACAGCAGTAACGCCTGAAAGCACAATTCTTATTACAGTGTTTAAAGAAATCAAAGATACTTGTAAAGGTTTTTTTTAACTCTAATAACACATTCAAGATGAACACGTTGGCAGTGATGTTGCCACAGAGACGTTTTCCTCTACACAAATCACTACAGTTACTTTAGCTTCAGCGTTGTTACATCACTACAGAAAACCTAGAAGCAAAAACACATTTGTGCTTGTTTCTTGAACTCTAAGAACTATAAAAATGGATGATTTTGAGATTGACGATGGTCTCGACTGCTTTAGTTTCTCAGTTTTAAATATGATACAAGACCAGAATTAATGAGAGGTGCAGACACAAAGACGTTCTGCTCAAGATTAGATACAAAATGCAGCTGTAAGAATAGGAAATGTGGATATAGTTTCAAATGTGCTTGGTTTTAAAGTGAATGTTTCCAGACATTCCTCCACTTGAAGTGAGATATTTCAGTCTATTTCAATTAAAACATTGTCTTCTGGCAGGAAAAAGTGCAATACAGTCTTTGAATGAAGTGCGCAGAGTGACTGAGGAACAATACTTTATTAATTAGTAGGGAAACATTACATACATAAATAAAGACAGATAAACATAAAAATGTCCTCATATGAAAACACAACTTGAATTTTCCAAGTCAGACAGAAAGTGTCTGTTTTTAATCAGAGTTATAAATATCTCCTTGTTTAAACTGATCGTGTTTTTTAAAAAAGACACCACCGCTCTCAAAGATTAGTTATGTCAGGCTTTATAAAAACACAATTAGTATTGTAGTAATATTATTATTTCTATATAAGTCCAGCCTGGATTAAAGAGATTCTGCTGCACAGTTCGTGCAGTTAAAGGTGCTTGTGAATCGAAAAGGCATTCAGTCACATGACCTTTAAAAACTGCAGAATTTTCAGGATACTCCAAAGATGTACATCTTTATAGCTGCAGATATTTCTCTTTCAAAAAGGAAAAAAGTACCACAGGAATAAATCAAAGGGAGTACAAATAAAATGAAATTAGATTTTATTCACTCCGTTTTTTAGCTCCCCTCCTTTCAATTCAGTGTTTAACTTTGCAGTTTGTATGTTGGTCGTAATAGTTTCTTTCATACAATACGGCGTACCCCTTACTCTCATAGTAGGAGCCTTTAGTCTGTGGATTAACGCACAGACTGACTCAAGTGTCTGTAGGCCTAATAGGAGAGATCAAGTCATGGCTACGGCCACCAAATTATTCAGAACTGCTAGTGTTAGTGTGGTTTTGACTGAAAGCTTGTTAGCAATCACGTCACAGGCTGTAGTCATTTCCCGACTCATCCAGAGATCTCAGAGCTTCACTCTGACCAAAACAAAAAGGTCTGTGATTTCTGATAAGACATCGGCTTTCCTGAGGTCGTGAGGAGAGGTCATAATTGTCATTAATCTTGGAATGTACTCTCAATTAATAGATTTAGAAAGAATACAAATATACCTTGAAAACAAGTTGTTTTTCCCCTCTGTGGTTGTTTAAAGTGCATTACAAGGACAATATAGTACAAAGAAAACGTAGTGAACTTTTCAGCTCCGCTGCACTTAAACCTTATAATAACAAACAAACAAGGTAACAAACAAGATTTAAATCCATACGAGACAATCTCATTGTATCTTCCTTTGTTACTCAAATTAAACTTGAACATTTTAAAAGGTATCTACATTTCATAATGGAGTGTATCTCCTGACTTTCCTGAAGGAGGAGTGATTAGGAAAAAAATCCTCAAAACAAAACAACCAAGAGTTTATCTCCAGCGCGGCCTTGTGGGCAAGACCGAGTCCTGAGAATGAGCGGACTTGTCACTGTCACTGTCATTCCGTCTGTGGCCTTTAGGGGGAGCCAGCAAGTCGTGGCGCGATGCACGAGGAGATGATTTGACGCTCTGAGACTTCCTCTGTGAGGAGGGGGAGAGTTTTTGGACATCTGAGGATCTTGCTGACGCATGGACTCTTAGTGATCTTGATCGCGTAATAGGCAAGGAGGTGCTGGATGGGGTAACAGGGGAGGAGGTCTTGGAAGAAGGTTTGGGGGAGGGGTCTGACTCAATGTTGGGGGAGTGGGAAGCAGCAGGAACAGCAAGGTTGGTGTGAGTACGTCTGAAAGAAGAAGAGGCTGTGCTCCGTGCAAAACCCGGAAACACAGATGATGAAGAGCTAGTGGCTTTGCGCAAAGGAGTGGCAGGAGCACTGACGCTGCCTCCTGCTCCACTTCTTCCACCCTGAGAGAGTGCCCGCAGTGTGGAGCGACAGATCTTCTCCTCCTGCTGGGCTTTAGGTTTCATTAAGGGCTTTTGGCTGGACATCTTTCCTTGAAAGTCCTTGTTCTGTTCTCGGGCAGATGGCTGAGTACCTGAAACATTCTGGTTCTTTGAGTCCTTTGGATCCAAAGTCTTGGGGATCCCAGATTGTTGGGATGAAGGAGCATTTGCAGGCCTCGCTACTCGTCGAGGGGAAGCACTGCTTCGTTTTGAGGGAGTCAGACTGGTGGGCACTGCGGTGCTGGAGGAGCCTCGATTCTTCTCTGTATGTTTGATTCTGGATGGACTTCTGTTGGTCCTGGATATTGGCACAACCCTCCTCATGTCCTTGTTCTCGGAGGTTGTGAGGGTCCGGATAGATTTGGATTTGCCAGATGCAGAGATAGTGTTTGGGGTAGGTTTCTTCCCATTAGTTTGGACTTTAGACGTAGGAAGGCTCTTGCTGGGTAGTTTAGATGGAGTTGCTGGTTCTGCTTTTACTTTGGTGGAAGAAGCTGCTTTTGCAGTTTTACTGGTTGAGTCTTTAGATGCCATGTTGTTTTTGCTTTTCTCTTCTGTTGATTGTTTTGAGACGGTCACTCCATCACTGTTCCTGTTGGTGGACACTTCTTCCTCTTCCTCCAGTTCTTTATCTTTCTCAGAAGCATCTGCTGTGAGAGCAGGCACTACATTAGGTGTTGGAGGTTCTTTCGGGCGCCACACAGAGGAAGAAACTAGCAGTGATGTGTCATCACAGCGGGGGACAGGCACTGGTTGGCTGCTGATGGGTACAGGCACTGGTTTTTCATTGGCCGGTTGAGGTTCTGAAGGCATGTCATTGGCTAAAGCAGAGGAAGTTAGTTTGTTTCCTCCTTGGTTATCACCCTTATGCTGATCTTTTTCAGTTTCTGCATAGGTGCTTTGTGTGTCACTTGTAGCCTCGCACACACCCGTCACACACCATACAACCACCTTATCCTCTTGCCCCTCATCGCCCTCTCTTGGTGTTGAAGAAGAGCTGAGCTCACCGACTTGCTCATCAGATTGTTTTGGATTTACAATCAGTTGGCAATTATTATGCACCTTATCAACTTGCAATTCATCCCCTTTCTCTTCTTCCAAATCTGTGATTGTCACATCGTCTTGATGAAGACCAACATGTCTGTTTTCGCTATGACTTGTGAGGGTGTCGCCACTGCCAAACACTTTTAGCTCAGGAACCAACGTGCATTTGTCTAAAACCACCACCATGTTTCCTGTAGCAGTGGTGCTCTGCTGAAAGCTCTTATCAGTGCAGTCAGTCTGCTGAGTTAAAACCAGTTCAACATCTTTTGGTTTGCTTGTTGTAAGTGTTGCATGGCTGCTTAAACCCATGCCAGGTTGATCACTGCTGCTTTTGTTGTTGTGTTCAGATTGCTGGTTTGAGTCAGAGGTAGGTTTGACTGCAAGTTCATTTGCAGGATTAGTGGCATTTGCACACGTCTGGGTAGCATTTTGGCTGAGGTAAGTGGCAGTTGCATGGTTTTTGTTTTTTGGACTCCTTTTGGAAGGTGATGAGGAGTTTTGTGGTGCCGTCTGGGTGGACACTGGGAATCCTGGACTTGAGGGAGATGGAAAACTGCTCCCTTTGCCTCTTTGCTGAATGTTTTTGCGATCAGTCGCCTTTTCCAGGAAAGTGCTTAGTTCCTGCTCAGCAGCAATAGATGGTGAGCAGGATGGAGACTTTCGGGAACGACGTAAGCTCACAGCACGTCCCAGAGGACTGTGGGAGTTGTTCACTGGTGAGCGAGGGTGGGACCTAGGGGTCAGGAGCTCCATCAACAGTCCGGCCTCGTCATGCCGCGACAAAGCAGTGGACATGTCAAGCTCACTGTGGCAGCGCAGCCCAAAGACTCCATCCACCTATAACGGGAACAGAGAGTGGATCATCGTTAGACATCTTTGATTGATTTTGTTTTACAGTGTCTGCGTACGTCATCCTACCTTTTCTCCTCCAGCCCAGGAGTGCCTCTTCTTCTCCTCCAGCTCTTGTATCCGCTGACGACGAGCCGCCTCCTTCGCCTCCCTCTCCATGTTCTCCTTCAAAAAGAGAAAGAGAAGTTATTTTCCTGATGCACGTGACTCTTCTGGTCCTCCATAGCCTACAGATATTATGCATGTTGAAAAAAAATTCAGATCCTGATGGACAAATCAAAGCAAACAAATCAAAAAAATAAAACAAACTGTGAACCCTTGGGCCTTAAATACAACATCTCCTCTTATGCCTGATTTATGGTCTGGTATTTGTGTCTCTGTCAACAGCTCATCGTGAGAGAAGGGTTTGGGAATTCAAACTACTCAGAGGCAATGGAGACACACTTGAGCCAAAAAGCCAACAATGGTGAAATTGTTGGCAATCACATAAAACGGAAGGTTTAGAAACTAATATGTTTCACTGTAAATCAGAAGCGTTATGAAATATGGGATGAAGACTAATGTATCAGTTGAAGTATACCAACAGTTTTAACCACATCTACTGGATCTTGTGTGGATTGTTGTACAGCTCGTGTAATGGATTTGCATTCATAGTTGTACCTTGACAGCATTTGTGAACCTGGAGCAGAAGGTGTGGAAGATGCTGAAACAGTCGTCCAGCCTGAAAGTGTCTCTGTCCTCGCAGAAAAAGTCGATCAGCTCGCTGCCTTCCCTCTTTAGCTGTTGCCGACTGCCACGGAGTGAGCAGAGAGATGATGTGGCATGCTGAGACAAACATAATAGGCACAAAATTATTTTTTAAACTACACACTTATTTAAAGATTATATAAAACTAAAATACTGTTATGTGTGTTACCTGCAGAAAGCTGTCCAGTTGCTGCAGCAGCTCTGTGTCTCTCTGGATGCTCTCCTCCACTGAGTGTGTGCGAGATGTCAGCAAATGCAGCTCAGCATCCAATGTTTCCAATGAGATCCTACCAAAGGAAGGAAAACAAATCCATGTAGCCTCATTTCTGCTTTGGTTTCATTCATTTTGTGTCTGGTGTAATTTAAGTATCAAATGAAGGACTGAAAAGAAACCAGCAGGGGGCGGTGTTCACTCAGATTCTGTAGAGATGTAATAAAATGATGGAAAGAAGGAGTATAATAAATAAATCCCCACCAAACAGGTTGATGGAGAAATGTAGTGGTGTATGTGGACAACTGTAGTATTTAATATGTGAATAATATGAAGTGATGTCTGACCTGGCTGCAGCCTGGATGTGACTCAGCTTGAGAGGAAACTCCAAGAGCTTCTCATCTTTTTTATGGGCTTCCTATAGAAAAACAAAAAAACAAAACATGAGACCCCCTCTTTCCAGCTACCTCCTCTTGCTCATTTTGGTGGTACAGAGGTGCTCTCAATCCACATAAAGAGACCCATTCTCTGTCCCAGGGTCCCCTTCTGGTAGACATTGCATGAAATCACCTTAAAGACATAATCTCACCAGCATGTTTAGGCCTTCTACCAGTAGGACTTGCCTGCAGCTCTATTCTGAGCCCCTCCTGAACTACTGAGCATCTCACTCTCTGAAGCTGAACCAACAACTTGTCAGAATAAACTAATTTCCACCTGTTGTATCTGCAATTTTATTCTGAGGGTTCAAATTTATATCAACTAGTTACTCAACAGCTTCCCCTTCAGCTTCAGGTCTCTCTTCACCACTCAAACCATTAAGACGTGGATCTGCTAATTTTCATTGTAACCACTTCACACTGAGCTTCAAACTCTCTCAAACTGTCTCAAGAGCTGATTTCATTAATAGATTAATCAAAAAAAGGATTGTATCATCTGCAAAAAGGAGAGACGTGTTTCTGAGACCACCAGATCTGAAAGAGTCTGTACAAAACCAGCAGTGGCGGAGTCCACCACTCTCCAGGAATAAGTATGACTTATTGACTGTAATGTGAACCAAGCTCTGGTTGCAGTTGTCCAGGTACCAAGTAGCCTGTAACAATGGCAAACACCCAAAGCAACACCAGGATGACAACCACATCATAGCATAGATCTTCCCTGGAAACTCTAAAGGTGTGATTCCCCATAAAAATAGGGTCTTTAGGGTCTTCCTCCCTAAAAAAAAGAAAGAAAGAGGGACCACATCTCCAGCCTACCCATTCGGAAGTAGTGTCCCTGACCTCCTGCCAATGAGTGCCAACCAGCACAGCCGACTACATCCAGAACCTTGATCAAATTCAGATGAATCTCATTCACCAATGGTGCCTGACAACCAAAGAGCACTTTAACTGTTTTTGTGACTTCAGCCACACTGGTGTATGTGCAAAAATGAAATGAACAATGATGTTACTCACCAGAGCGACAAAGTGCAGCAGGTTCATGCCTGGTTTGTTAGCTTTGGTGTCAGCCAGAGACAGGAGGGACGACAGCTTGAAGCCTACTGCGTTTCCTGCATAACCTCCCTGCAACGCACAGAAATTAAACTCATAGTGGTAAACATTCAAACACTTGAACAACAGAATCTGAAGCTATAAAACTACATTTCCCACAAAGCAGTTGGTCTCCATAGTCTACCTGATAAGAGAGAGTAGAGACAGCGAGTCTCCAGTTTGACTGTACACCTAACATGTATCGCCCAATTATCAGCTCATTCTGTTAAACATTTATCAATTAAATGAACATAAATACACTTTTTCTGCAATCATTGTGTCATGACAGTCAAATGAGCTCATGCATTCAGACCCTGAGATTTTAAATGACAGATACTAAGATTGTGTAAATAAGCTAACACTAAAATACAACTTCTGCTCAAACTAGCAAACTAAACCGTCAGAAATAAAAGTAGTACTTCAACAGCAGAGTGACTGGCTGTGATTAAAACTGCAGATCAACCTCCGAACAATTTAACACAGACAAACATTTTTAAATGTGCTGTGTGAAAAATGACCACACGCCGTCTGCTTGAAACCACTTCTCCTCTTGGAATAAGTCAAGGCCTCATAACCACTCCCACTTCCTGTTTCTGAAAAACACCCAAATCTTTTCCTGTATTGCATCAGTATTAGAGAAACTCACACAGTCACTGACACTGAGAGGAGAAATGGCACAGAAAGGAGTTCAGCTGGACCGAAAAACCTTCTCTTGTTCCATCTGTTTGGATCTACTGAAGGATCTGGTGACTACAACCTGTGGACACAGCTACTGCAGGAACTGTATTAAAAGTTTCTGGGATGAAGAGGACAGGAAGGGAATCCACAGCTGCCCTCAGTGCAGGAAGACGTTCACACCGAGGCCTGTCCTGGAGAAAAACGTCATGTTTGCAGCTTTAGTGGAGCAGCTGAAGAAGACTGGACTCCAAGCTGCTCCAGCTGATCACTGCTATGCTGGACCTGAAGATGTGGCCTGTGATGTCTGCACTGGGAGGAAACTGAAAGCCATCAAATCATGTTTATCTTGTCCAGCCTCTTACTGTGAGAATCACCTCCAACCTCACTATGATGCAGCTCCGTTAAAGAAACACAAGCTGGTGGCCCCCTCCAAGAAGCTCCAGGAGAACATCTGCTCTCGTCATGATGAGGTGATGAAGATTTTCTGTCGTACTGAACAGCAGAGTATCTGTTATCTCTGCTTGATGGATGAACATAAAGGCCATGAAACAGTCCCAGCTGCAGCAGAAAGGACTGAGAAGCAGAAGGAGCTCGAGGTGAGACGACTAAACATCCAGCAGAGAATCCAGGAGCGAGAGAAAGATGTGAAGCTGCTTCAACAGGAGGTGGAGGCCATCAATGGCTCTGCTGATAAAGCAGTGGAGGACAGTGAGAAGATGTTCACTGAGCTGATCCGTCTCCTCCAGAAAAGAAGCTCTGATGTGAAGCAGCAGGTCAGATCCCAGCAGGAAACTGAAGTGAGTCGAGTCAAAGAGCTTCAGGAGAAGCTGGAGCAGGAGATCGCTGAGCTGAAGAGGAAAGACGGCGAGCTGGAGCAGCTCTCACACACAGAGGATCACAACCAGTTTCTACACAACTACCCCTCACTGTCAGCACTCAGTGAGTCTACACACTCATCCAGCATCAATATTCGTCCTCTGAGCTACTTTGAGGATGTGACAGCAGCTGTGTCAGAGACCAGAGATAAACTACAGGACATTCTGAGAGAGGAATGGACAAACATCTCACTGACAGTCACTGAAGAGGATGTTTTACTGTCACCAGCAGAGCCAAAGACCAGAGCTGGATTCTTAAAATATTCACGTGAAATCACACTGGATCCAAACACAGCAAACAGACGTCTGTTATTATCTGAGGGGAACAGAAAAGTAACATTTATGAAGCAACAACAGTCTTATTCTGATCATCCAGACAGATTCACTGCATGGTTTCAGGTCCTGAGTAGAGAGAGTCTGACTGGACGTTGTTACTGGGAGGTGGAGTTTATGTAGCAGTCGCATACAAGAATATCAGCAGAGCAGGGTTTGGCAATGAATGTTTTTTTGGATATAATGAAAAATCTTGGGCATTAGATTGTGACACAAGCAGTTATACATTTCGGCACAACAATGTCCAAACTGTCCTCTTAGGTCCTCGGTCCTCCAGAGTAGGAGTGTACCTGGATCACAGAGCAGGTATTCTGTCTTTCTACAGCGTCTCTGAAACCATGACTCTCCTCCACAGAGTCCAGACCACATTCACTCAGCCGCTCTATGCTGGACTTTTATCTTTTGAGGGCGTCTCTGCAGAATTCATTAAACTGAAATAAATGTCACTGAGGGACAGTTGATTAAAATGTGATTTAGTTTTGACTTTCCTTTGGTCTCCATCATTGTTAATCAGACCACATTGTCACTAATGCCCACTTTGTTGCCTCTGACATGGGATCCCTCTCTACACTAGTCCATTTACATTTACATGCTTCCCTTAGGCAGTATTATTAGAGTGGATAGCATGTGGGCATATTCTCATTATTATGCAGTGAAATGTTGATTTACTTACAAAACAATGTTGGTTAAAATGTCTGTTTTAGTTTGCAGTTTCTTTGGTCTCCACATTTTTGCAGAGCACTCATCGTTGTGCAGTTTCCTGTCAGTCACACTTTACAGATACTATTTTGATATCTTATCATTTATTGTCTAATTAATAACTGACTTTGTTTGAACAAAGACAATTTTCATTACATTTACATATATTTGTTGTTGTTGAAATAATCAATCAGTTCAAGAAACAGCTTGCTTTGGGTTTTTTACATTGATAAATGCAGCTTTTTATGCTAATTAATGAATTTGCAGTTATTTGGGATCTAATTTTCTTTCACCTTTAATTATACCTACATATACATACAGCATACTCTGATTTTATTAATTAATGTGTAGCTGTGTTGGTCATATCGTTATTGCCATGTCGTTCAAAATTAATAACTTGATTTAAATATCCTCTTTGGAGGCTGCTTCATTTAGTGCACCAACCTGTTTTATGCATAAAATTTTGTTTAGATCCACAATTTGAACTTTTACTCAGATTCATAAATAGTTTTTGTCTGATTTTCTTTCATCATTTTCAGTCACTGTTACATTTTGCACGAGTCTGATTTCTGCATCTGTTCACCAATGAATGCATGTCATTGGTCCACACTGTGTATAAGACAACCGACAGTTATGAATTAAAAACAAATCATTTTGAAATGTAAAACCTTTAGAAGACATTATATTATTTCCAATCAATTTGTGAGTGATAAATTGTTCAGTGATACCCTGACTGTAATTAAATGATGGATTTAGCCACCATGCTGTCACGCATGGTTTTGGCCGCCATCATGTCAGTTTTTAAAACAAGAGCCTATATTTGGATGATAACTTGAAGTCTAAGGCTACGTTCACACTGCAGGCGAAAGCACATCAAATCCGACTTTTCTGACCCTCTGCGACCCATATCCGATCATGGTATGACAGTGTGAACGGCACAAATCTAATATTTTCAAATCCGATCTGGGTCACTTTCGTATGTGGTACTGAATCCGATACACATCTGATGTTCTAGAAAGCGACTGCTGTTTGAACGGTCACGTCGCATTAAATCAGTCTTTTACGTCACTGACACAAGACAGACGCCGATTATCAGCGCCAGAGAAGACATCGCGAACGCTTCCTGGCCATCCAGAGAAACTGTTGGGAAGACAACGTTGGAGAAACGTGAACATTTTATTTGTACTGTATAATCTGCAGATTCTGACAGAAATCTGCAACTATCCTTTGAAGCACCGCTCCTCTAAAACAGCAATAAGGATAATTATTAGGCCATATGTAAATAACAAAATAACTTTAGAATTTAAAGCAAAATTGGGAAACGTAAAGTCTGAAACAAGTCTTTATATTAACGGCCAACAGTCAAACAATACTGTTCAGTCTGGGTGTAAACAGAGCGCGTTGTGTGTGACGTCTTCTTTTGCACATGCGGGCCACTTTGAGGGTTCACACTAGAGCGCGTTTGCTGTCAGATTTTATCTGCAGTGTGAACAAGCAGACAAAAAAATCAGATTTGATCAAAAAAATCGGAGTTGAGCATTAATAAGACCTGCAGTGTGAACGTAGCCAAAGTTACAGTTAATCTCATGGTTAAAACTGTAGATATGAATCTAAATCTATTTGTAGCAGTAAACATGTTTAATTCTGATCTAAAGTTGAACATTTAAACATGAGTTTTTTTTGGGACTGACTCAATTTTGGAGCCAGCCTCCAGTGACCACTTGACACTCGTATTAATATATGTGAGTGTTTTTAAAAAGAGTATATTACGTCTGATTATAATAAGGAAGAGAAGTTCTATGAAAACACTGCTTTGTTTTAGTGTCGTCTTAGCATTTCTTTTTTAATTTGCAGCTCACCTTTTCATCTTGACTCACTCTAATAAAAAGTGTCCATGCAAAGTTTTAGGTTATGTACAGAAACAGGAAATAAACCAGAATTCTAATATTAAATTACTGTCACGGAAAAAAAGGGTGTAAACTAAAAAGCCTTTTGTTGCCTCTTCTTCCTTCTTGTATTTCTTTTTCTTCTTCCACCATCTATCCACTTTTTTCTCCCTCATCTAATTATTCATTGATGCTGTACAATGTTTTTTTTCCTACTCACAGCGTTAAGGAGGTTTCCGGCCTGCAGCACCAGGTGGAGAACAGCATGGAGCTCCTCGCAACACATTAATTCTGGAGGACGGAGACAAAGTAAAAGAAATGATGTCTTCATTTGTGTCAGTACATAAAGGATAAACCATGCAAGAGCATCACCTGCTGGAAATAACTGTGTAAAAAGAGAGTAAAGAGAGAAAAAACACAAAACCTGTGCAGTAAAGATACAGATAACATAAGCTTATGATGCTAAAATCCCACTGGGTTTGCTGTTTTATCACATGCAGTGTTAGCATGTGGAAGGTTAGTTAACAGTTCAGGCAGTTATCAAGTTCACACACACACTGCTAAAAATACTGAAGGTGTTAGTCTGTATTGGGTGGAGGGTGTAAACGAGGAGAAGGCTTTACTGCAGGTATTTCTGCACCAACGACATTCAGTCCAGATTTATTGCGTTTTATTTCTTTTCATCTTTTTTATTATTATTTTATTTTTGTTAAAAAATATTCCAGAGTTTCATACACAGATCTCTTTTCTTTCTTTCTTTTTTTACAACTTCTGAATCAAACGGCTCACTCCTTCACATAAAGGTGAAAGTACTGATTCTGAGACATTGTAACACAATCTGTGTAACAGAATCTGCTAAATCTGTGAAAGTGTTTCTAGAAGCTTCTTGGTTACGCCTCTGCGTGGTGATTCTGAAGCTAAATGAATCCTCTGAGATCGATGTCATCACTGATGACGACCCCAAACAGAACCTTATGTTTGGAGTCAAGAAAAATAACTTTTCTGGAGGTTTTTAATGTTTTTGATGGATGTGAGTCGGTGTGATTTCTTTGTTGTTTGTTCATTGCCGAGACACAGAGATAAGGTTCATCAGCAGCAATGAGCTGCATCTCAGAGTAACTATTAACATGCTCTATGCAACTTTTAACACCTATTATTTATTGTATATTTGACCAAACCCTACTTTACCTCAGTGCCCTGATCCCAGTGTCAGGAGTCAAACGTTACTTTTTTTTAAAATGTAAAATTAATTTTAAAAAGTTGATGAGTTTGCTCTAAAAAGTTTTACAGCTCCACCACCATCGTTGGTGTTCATGCCATTCTCTCAGTAATTTCAGTTCATACAACACAGATAGAAGCAGTCTGGCCACACAATCTCTACCTGCCTCCTGCAGCACATTTGCTTGTGGTAAGGAATAAAACATTGTAACACACTCAGTGTTGGTTCTGGTCCTTCTCTGCTCTGCGTTGACACTAAGACAATAAGTAAGAGAAGAGAAAGCAGAGCTGTGGCCTGTGTGAGCTCCCAACAGCGGCTGCATGCAGAGAGCAGCTCATCCGTGTGCCGCTGATGCTGCGAGCGTGTTACCTTTGATGGCGGCGCGAAGGATCTTAATGTCCCGTTTCATGGCCTCGCACGCTGCCGGAAAATCCTCCTTTAAGAGCATGGATTCAATGCGGACTGTGTAACTGCAGACCGAGAGAGAGAGGGGTGAAAATGAATTGATTAATACATTTTTATTTTGCGTCCAAGCTGGTACACATCACTAAATACAGCTAATGCTACTACTTTACATACTCTCGTAGTAACTGTATACCAGCAGCTGGCAATTAGTTTGAACTGTGGGACTATTTTTAGCGCATCTCATTAAGGAGATGTTGTTATTGGTGTGTGGGGGAGCTGCAGGCATGTAATTGATTCAGCTTGATGTTTTTGAAATGAAATGAAGGCAGATGTCACATTACCAGCGCTCCAGCAGCAGCTACTTACTAACATTTGTTTGTTTTGTTGAGCACAAATTGATGCATTAACGGTTATGATTCCTGAGTCACTGAGTCAGCTCTGTTAACTGTCACAAGGTCCTGTTTAGTGATACAAAAACATTTTCCCCCACTTAGAGCTAGAGCTGGTACACAGGCCACTTTTACCCAACACTGTTTCACACCAGTGCATCATGTTTTCAAAAATTCAAAGTAACCACTGTACAGCCAGTAAAAGTATTTATGTTTAATGTTGTAAGTATACAAGTACAAGTACTACAAAAATGTACTGTTTTGGTGCAGTATTTCAGTGAATGCAACAGTGAAACTGTACAGACAGTGGAAGCATTTTCAGTGTAAAACTGTTTCATGGATCTTGCATGAATATCGGAAATGTTAAAAAAAAAGATCATAAAGGTTTAATTCTAATTTCTGAAACTTGCAGTGAAAGTTGAACGCAGCATAAATCTGAATAACTAAGTAAAAGTTCAGCGCTCACCTGGGCACCTGAATCAGCCGGTACATGAAGGAATCGGCCAATGAGAGCTGAGAGACTTCGCCGCGGTGTGCCTTCAGTTTCTTCACCTTCATGAGTGCAAAAAGATGGATCAGATAAAAAAAACACATCAGTGTGTGTGTGTGTGTGTCTCACCTCTTCAGACTCTGGCAGCAGTTTCAGCATTTCTCTCAGACGCTCCACCCCAAAAGCCTCACTGTTGCCATGGCAGATTTCATCTACTATAGTCTCATTGGACCTGGAGGAAGAAGATGTTTAAATTTAGTGTGAGCAGCGATATAAAAAACAAACACTCATTGTGCTGAAGTTAAGAATTAAAATGGCATCAAAATAACATTACACTAAGCTGATCTGGGTTTTCCCCCCACAGAGATTTAATTACCATCTGCACACGTACAAGGTACACTCAGTTCACTCTGTCAGGTTAAAATTCAAACAAGAAAATGAATAATTTAAGACAGTTTTATCACTTTGTGAACTCCAACCTTTTGCTTTTAAATGATAATTTCATTTTCAACATTGAAACAATGTTATATATTCATTCAGGAATTAGCCTGAGACGACATTTATAGTTATTTTTCTGTTGACTGGAAGCACCTTCCCTGTTACTTAAAGTAAAATAAAATGGACAAAATAACTTCTTTAACTAATTAACTTCAGTGCCGATACACGTCCAGTTTATTTTAACCTACACAGTGGATGAAGAGAAACTCAAAAACTCAAAATTTAACTTATTGTACTGTTGTCAGGAGATAGAAACTTTCTTGCACAGAGTTATTGTGCAAAGCTGCTTTCAAGGTCATGAGGAATTCCATAAACTTGAGATTTTCCTATTTGATATCCAGTTTTTGTATTTTTCGCTGAAACCTTCAATTTGTTCAATGAGTACAGAGCACACTTTCACAGTTAGGCCAAGCACAAAAAGACTGAAATTCTGATGTCAGAGTTCATTAAAACCGTTTCTTGACTGAGTGAGCTGAATAAACTGGACAGGCGTGTTCTGTCAGATCATCCCACCAAGTACAACTTCCTTGTACATATTTTTACACTCTGTTATAAATGCAACATGATGTCACAGAGTTTGCAGATGTATTAACAACAGTTTTAGTAACATGCTCTGGACATACTTTTAAAATGCGATTTCTAAGCAACAAGCCCTAAAACGAGAAAAGCAAAAATCCCACAATTGAAATTTTGTTTCCTTAATTTTATGACAAAGAAAATTAGTATTTTCCGAATACTGTCTGTCAGTGCTGTTTACATCTGTCTAAATCTCAGCCAAGGATATCTGAGAGTGGATTTGTGGGTTTAGAAGTTGTTGGCGTTCTGTGTGTGTGTGTGGGGGGGGGGTGTTGTTGGTCGGAGAGCTGTTTGTCACACATTAAGTGGTCGTTCAATGGAATCCGCTGTGACGCTAATGATTGTCTCCCCTGCTCTCTTACCTGCCTGAGAAAAGTTGGCTTTAAATTTACGGCAGTGATTTATCAGAGATGTGCGGAGCATGGAAGGAGAGCGTGAGAAATAGAGACAGGTGGTTAACAGTGAGTCTTTACAGTTGCCTGCACAACCTGGTGGAGTCTTTCATGTTTTAAGGCTGCATTTCAGTAAATGGTGTTGGAGATCTTGTTAAAAATGGAAGAACTATGAACAAAGAAAAGTCAGATTTTGACACACTGCACAAGTCTGGAAGGCATTTGATTGGTAAAGACTTCATTTTTCAACATCAGAATAATCCAAACACATTGTCAATTACAGTAAAAGAACACCTTGACTGTACCTGGACCTGCACAATAAAATGGTATCAGTCATGGACTGGCCTGAGCCCAAATCTCAACATTACTGAAGCAGTGTGAGAACAGAACAAACAAAGCAAAACAACACATCCAAAGAAGAGTTTTGAATGTCCTTCAAGAAGCCTGGAGAACTATTCCTGAAGACTGTTTAAAGAAAGTACAAGCATGCTGTTTAAGAAAGTTCAGGCTGTGCTGAAGAACAAAGGCGATCCTGCTAAATATAGATTTTCAGGCTCATCTGAACTGTACAAACTCTGATTTGTCTTATATACTGGTTTTCCATGTATGTTTTCTCACGTTTTAATAAATTGCTGCACCTTTGTTTGTTTTTTAACCATTTCCTTAGAAAAGTATAAAGAAGTGCAGGGCAACTCGAACATTTTGCACAGTCATCCCAAAGTATATTTCCTGGAGCAGATGGCTGTGTCTTTTACTTCCCACTTCTCAAAATTGTTACTTTGTTGTTGGAAAAGTTAAAAGTACTTATACCAAAGTCATGATGCATGCTTAATCATCCAGGTAAGGAAATCCTGATGAGTGACGAAACTTTTCTCCACCTGGAAACGTTACGTCCGGATGAACAGAACTAACTTTTGGGTACTTTTAGCTCTGTGTTAAAGCAGCTGCAAAACCTTCAGCTTAATTTGAAACTGAATGACAGAGTTTTTGTGGATATTTTACATCGTGAACATAAAATGATGCAATACAACTCAGATTCTTCTCCAATTGATTTCAGGTATAGTTGCTGTACATTCCTGCTCTCCGTCTCCCACATGCCTGTATGTCCCTCAGTGTGTTTGGTAAGCACTAAGTCTCAACATGGTGACCTGAATGATTCAGCACATTCATTCAATACATTCTCTAAGCTTAGCCAACTGACTCACCTTGTGGACACTTTTACGTGACTTCCTATCTCTATATTAAGCTGTGGTGAAGATGTAAAATCCTCAGTGAGGTATAAATGTAAAAAAGGGTGAAGGAGGTTTAGATAAAGCAAGTTTTTTCATTCTTTGAACTACATTAAAGCTTCATGAATACGTATCTATGAACAATATAAATGCAGTAATTCTGTCAAGCAGCATTGCGGTGACCTTACCATGAATGGGTTACAAGACAGCAGGCCCCTGGGGACAAGACCACCAACCCTCCTACAGAGGATTAAGACATCAAGCTCAAGGACACACGAACCACAACTGCGGTGTAGCCGAGCTGTTTAGTGTCTCTTTGGAGCAGCGCTGTGCTTTGATTTGAATGTAGGATATCACTTTCTTGCTGTTTTGTCCCATTTTGTACGCTTTTTTGTTCATTTTATGTCCCTTTGTAGCCACTTTATGCCTGTTCGTTACCATTTTGTATCTCTTTATTTCTATTTATCGCTCTTGTAGAGATTTTCATCTTTTTGTCATCAAATTATGTATGCTTGTAACAATTTCGCATTTCCTCGTATTCTCATTTCGTTTCCCTTCGTCACTGTTTTTTCTCTTTGTGATCAATTTTAGTTTCTCAGTCTTCATTTTGTATCTTTTCATGGCTAACCTAGGTTGCTTGCACCTATTTTGCATCTTTTTAAACCATTTTACACCCCTTTATTGCCACTTTGCACCTCTTCATGCAATTAAGTTCACTTTCAGCCATTTGGCCTCCTTTGTCACAAGGTTACACCATTCTCATTTTTCTTCTTTTCTCCTCAAGTGGTTTAATTCTTCTTATTGCTATTTTGCATCTCTCAGCCTCTTTGTTGTCACTTTAAATCTTTTTGTTAATAATAGTCAATAATCAATGACATTGTAGTTATTTTTCTGTCACTTCTGTAGCTCTTCATTATGAATTTAAATCTTTGTTTAGACAGTTTGTCATTTTGTCCAATTTAAGATCAGTTTATATCCATTAAGTTATTCTAAGGAGCTTGGAAAGAAAAGCGTCTGGACTCTTTAAGTTTCCTTGAAGACGTTTCACTTCTCATCCGAGAAGCTTCTTCAGTTCTAAGAGCGATTGGTGAGGGTCCCAGATTTAAGCCCTATGGAGTTTCCCCCAAGAGGGACAAAGACCCCTAATGATCCTCTACCTAATCACATGAGCCAAGGTGTGAAAACTGGTGTAGGTCACAATCAGCCAGGGTTTCAGGTGAGCTCATTGTGAAACTTGGCCCCACCCCATCGTGTGATTTCCTGAGGTCAGATGGCCCAGGATGTGAGTGGGCGTTAAGGCGTCTGGGAAGGGATCTCAGAACTGGATTATAGATGGCAGACAGTTGGTGTCGTAAACCACCGCCTCTGTTCAAAGACGGTCGCTCACAGTGGACATAGATGAATTATTTTACTCCTCTTTCAAACAGTCTTCTCTGTCCAAAATGTGAACATTGATATCCTCGAAAGAGTGACCTTTGTCCTTTAGATACAGATGGACAGACGATAGAAGCTTCTCGGATGAGAGGTTAAAAAAAAAAAAAGGTCTTCAACTAAGCTCAAGTCCTTTTTTAAGCTCCTTAGACTACGATGACCCAGATGACTGAGAACCTTCACATTCTATTAAGTTATTATTTTGCATCTCTTGTTTTGGTCAACTTGAATTTGATTGTTGTCATTTTTGCTCGCTTCATCTCTTGCGTCCCTTGTTGTATTATCTCCGTATAAGT